AAAATTAGATGAGACTTTGGCATTATGGCACTTCCTTATTGGAACCTTGAGAGACTACAGGAAAGGAAAGAGAATCAATGATCAGCTGCTTGTGTTTTTAATACTGTTCTCTTCCCCCACCTCTTTCCTAGGGGAAATAGGACAGAAATGATCTGGAGTACAGCTAAAGAATTTCCCTTTGGGAAGTTTTTTTGTGGGTCTCTCTAAAATATATTTCCCCCTTTTTTCTGTAATCTCCTTTATGCTGTGTTATAGTTCAATGCACTTTCTAAACTGAGTTTGAGAAATTCAATGCTCCTGCAGTTGTACTTCCCATTTAACAGCTATGCACTTTGTTTTTAGAGATAGGTTAGGAAACACGCTACAGTTTGCTGTTTTGGATCAGATAGGGAAAAGATGAAGGTTAGCTTTCTTGCTTCTGAAATCATCTTGGTGACCAGTACCTGTGGGATCAGAGGTAAGGAATCTAGCAGCAATTGTATTAGTGCTTGAAAGAGATGTCCTTGAATTCTCCAAGCGCCATCTCTGTATTCCATGAAGCAAATGTAGGGTTTGAGCAGAGGCTCCTACATTAAATAAGAGGTGTGTCTATTCAGTCTTTATGGATACTTATAATCCAGAAATCATAAACCCTCTTTTCTCCTGTGCTCTTTTCTCTGGGAAGTGTTAAGACGTGTGAGTTGTGGGAAGAATTTGTCCTTGCACCTCCTGGATTATTTTTCTCAAATATCTACCAGTAAGAGCCCAAAGAACTTGAGAAAAATTGTTCCCATATCTGTCCACTTCTGGTGTGAAAGTTTTACTTACCTTTTTAGTACTTTTCTTTGTATTTTATATGTATAATTTTATACAATTAAAAATAAATTTTTGTCTAGTAAGCCAGACTGACTCTTTCTTGAGACTTATGTATCAGAGGATACTTTCTCTTCCATATATACACTTAAAAAGAACTCCTATGAGTATTTTGGGGGTGGTAGAAATAAGGTTGTACTACCAGGGGAGGGTATTCTGTTTCCCCTTCTCCAGACATTTGAGGAGCTTGGATTTTGTCCTTGGCGCTTTCTCCTCAAGCAATCTCACCCACAAAGGTGGCTTAAATGCTATTATACACAAAATTCTCAAACCTATTTCTTCCATCCCAAACTGTTTTGGGCTTTTTTGTTTGTTTTTGTTTTTCTCTTGAGCTCTTACATCTATATTTCCACACACTAAACATTACCACCCGGATGACACAAGCTCTTTGAACTTACATATCTAAAATAAAATCCTTTTCTCCATGCGTGCTCCTCGTTGACTCCCCAGATCTGTTATTGAAATTATCTGCCCAGTTATCTAAGCTAGAACCTCAGATTCATCCTCAATTCTCCCCTAATATCATCTAATCAGTCACTTACTGTTGAGTTTACCTCCTATATAAACTTCCTAACCTGTTTTGTCCATATCTACTCTCTTAGTTCAATCCTTTTTCACCTCTGAGCTGGACCACTGCAGTCTTTTCCTAACTAGTCTCTACCTTCATTCTTAACATCCTCCACACTCCTATCAGATTTCTTTCTAAAATACTTATAGCTGTACCACTCCCTTGCTTAAACCATCACTTAGCTATCTTTACCTTTGGCAGCACTTCCCAAAGGTTTATATGTGAACCCTTGGTGTTACCTGAGATGACCTTAGGTGGTAGATGGGGAAACATTTTTATTTTTACTAGTTATGTTTTAATCTAAGTTTGTAATAGAAAAAAATTTTTTCCATTTATGGCAGTGATATTTAAACTTAGTGTAAATTTTTTTAAAATGCCAGTCTATTTAAGGAAAAATAAGAACCAAAAATAGTGTGGGGGCTATTTGCAAATGTTAAAAATTATGAGTACTAAAATATTGAACTAGAAAAATTTCTTGCCTACAGGGTAAGTTCCAAAATCCTTAGCATGGCATACAGTTTGACCCTAAACTATACTTCCAGCTTTATTTCCTAGTTATAGAGCATCAGGAATATAGAGTTTCTTGCCATTCGGACAATAAACAATAAACAAGTCAAAATAGACAATAAACAAGTCAGAAAATAAGCAAGGTAATTAAAGCTTTGAGTTTAAATCCTGTGAAGGAAATAAGAGTGAAGACCCCAATAGCTGGAGTGAGAGGATCAGGGACGGAGAGTTGCAAAAGTCCTTAGATGGGAAGGAGTACAACATAGTTGAGAGAAAGTATAGGGAGAGTTTAATGGGTGAGAGGGAAGAATGGTGGTGGAAGAGGTGGGAGAGAGGCAGAGCAGGCTGTGTGAGCCTGAACTTTTTCATTCTAAGTGCAAAAATAAGTCAAGGGAGGATTTTCAGTAGAGATGTGACCAACTCATTTTTCCAAAGACCACAGTACCTACTGCAGAGAATAGATGTATCTAAGTCTCAGTACAACTGCTTTCCCTGTAAAACTACCCAACCTTAAAGTCCTAGTTCAAATGGAGGGCCCCCCTTACATGCACTCTCCTTACTTCTAGTCCTATTAGAAATTTTCTTTGTTCCGCCATAGCACTTTGTGCTATGGCAATGATCACTTTCCTAATGTAATTATAAAGTGACTGTTGACAACACAGGACTTTCCCCCTGTTCTGCCAGCACCTCTTAAAATATTAGACACACATATCGGCATGCATAACTGTTCGACTTTAACATTAATGAATAAACCCACAGTCCACTATTGTTTAAGGTCTATGTAGATTCCAGAATGTGGGGGCAATATGGGTTTTGCCTCAACTCCTAGGTTTTTAAACGTTAAATATTTGTACCATCCTCAGAGAAGCTAAGGCTCCTATTTTGTTTAAAGCCGTGATTTTTCTTTTTTAATTTCCATAAGTGGAGGAAAGAATTTGAGTGAGTTTTCTTTTTCTTTAAAGTTGATATTTGTCTCCCCAATCGTATTTCACCGGACAACCAGGTCTGCTAGGGTTTTTTTAGGAGAGAAAAATCCATGCTGCAGTACGTTCCAGAAGCAGCTTTTTGAAGCAGAACTGCTGACTGAACTATATATATATTTTTTTTAATGCGTCCATCATAGATCAGGCTGCTCCTCGGCACAGTATAGGTCTGGAAGTTTTTAGAGAAAAAATCTTTCTTCAACTTCCATTCCCTAGTATGGAGTGAAAGGAGACGCGAAGCAAGCCTTCAACAAGAAAAAATTAGTCTGGGCTTCTCCGTCAGCTACCCTATTTGAGCGGAAGTTACTGACTCCGCCCACCCCCGAGCCTGTCCCTCACAGAGCCGGGGCCTTCCGCTCACGACCCGCTCAAGATGGCTACAGGAACACTTCCGGGATCTTCCCAAACTAGGCCCGCCTCCGTTGCGTATTTTCACCGCGCCGAGGGCGGGACTTAGTTAGCTTTTGATTGGTCAACTTGACTGGCGACCTTTCCCCTCCGCGACAGCTACCCGAGGAGCCTCGGGCCTGAGAGGCACGGCCGGGAGTTAGAGCGAAGGCAAGATGGCGGACGTGCTGGATCTTCATGAGGCCGGGGGCGAGGACTTCGCCATGGATGAGGATGGGGACGGTGAGGACAGTGGAGGCGGCTGCGGGAAGCAGGGAAGGTGCGAGAGAAGGGCGTATTAGAAAAACGTAATCTCCCTTCTCCCCAGCGAGGAGGATGCGAGCCGGGAACTGGGTTTCCGTTGGCTTGGAGACCCCGCCTCCTTCGGGAGGAACGGGGGCGGTCCAGGAAGGGACTGAGACTGGAGGTGGTGAGGTCGGCTTTCAAATGATGTCTGGAAAAGAGACGCTAGTTGTAAACTGTTATCTCTGTCACTTATTGTTTCACTTCTGGGGTTCCAGAGAGCATCCACAAACTGAAAGAAAAAGCAAAGAAACGGAAAGGTCGTGGCTTTGGCTCTGGTGAGTGTTTGTGGGTGAAATGGTATCTAGAATGGTGAGAACTGAGTTTTGGAGTCCCCATTCAGACTTATGGTGAGCAGTGGGAGATGGGGGATTTTCCGGTGATCTCGTGTATGTTTCTAATAGAAGAGGGGTCTCGAGCGCGGATGCGTGAGGATTATGACAGCGTGGAGCAGGATGGTGATGAACCCGGACCACAGCGCTGTAAGTAAAATGGAGATTGTCTGTAGAGAATTAGGGAACAGTGAAATAAAACCCAGTAGGAATGGAGTCAGAGGTAGCTTAACCAATCTCTGTGGTGTCTGCACATAGTCTACTTCTGTGATCTTGTTTGAAGTTTTTCTCTCATAACCTCAAACAGCCTCCCTCCCTTCCCCAACAGCTGTTGAAGGTTGGATTCTCTTTGTCACTGGAGTCCATGAGGAAGCCACGGAAGAAGACATCCATGATAAATTTGCAGAGTATGGGGAAATAAAAAACATCCATCTCAACCTGGACAGGCGAACAGGATATCTGAAGGTATCCTGAGGGATACTCCATTACCTCTCTTCCCCCATAATCCTTAGACAGCGTTGGTAGTTCTCCCATGTTTGTTGTGGTTGGCCAAGAGCAAAGTTAAAATAAAATGACATTGGGAATTGATTTTGTTAGACATAGCAAAGAGACAGAAACAGACACACAGTTGTATATATAATAGAGGTATATGATGTATATTCGTTGTTGAGAGTATAGATTTTCCTATTTGAATAGAAAATAGCTTGCTGGAATAGGAGGGTTTTCATAATCTAATCTGTCTTTTCACTTGTCCTAGGGGTATACTCTAGTTGAGTATGAAACATACAAGGAGGCCCAGGCTGCTATGGAGGGACTCAATGGCCAGGATTTGATGGGACAGCCAATCAGCGTGGACTGGTGTTTTGTTCGGGGTCCACCCAAGGGCAAGAGGAGGTAAAGTGGAGAGGGCAAACATTATCTTAGTGAAGAGAATATGAGCAAAACAGAATAAGGACATTGTATTGTATTTCTCTGATGGGCCCTATCTCTTTTCCTTGTCCCTAGAGGTGGCCGAAGACGCAGCAGGAGTCCAGACCGAAGGCGTCGCTGACCCATCTTCTGTTGTTCTGATGTTCTCTCCAGAGGTTCCATTTGACCATGCAGCTTTGGGGAAATAGGGCTGGGGTGGAACTCACTGTGTTTTATATTTAATCTCTTACCCTTTCCTGCTTAGTGTTTCTTTTGAGTTATGAATAAATGTCCCAGTTTTGTTTTCTACATTTAAAATTACTTTCCTGTTCTGACATTGCAAGCTCTGAAGCACTATTTACAGTAAGGTAGTGTGGGTCACTGTGAAGATACTTCTCCCAGGGACTGAATTCTGTGAGTTTCTACAGTAGACATAGTCTCAAGTCTCAGCTGGGGTCAAAGTAGAGACTGTGCTCAGTATTTCTTTTTCTTGGAAGCTAAGAGAGCAGGGTAGAAGTCAGATATTCCTGTGATACGAAAGAATAATCATTCTGTTCCTGTGTACTCTGTCCTGAACAAATGGATGTTATAGGGATGTCTCTTTTGTTTCTCCTGCCTCTTTTGCTGCCACATTTGCTTGTATTTCCATCTGTCTAAGGGCTTGAATCTCCTGCTGGGGCTTTCTTCCAGATCCTCCTTCTCTGGAGGAGTCTATACTAAGTTCTTGATGCGCTCTTCGGCAGCCAAGGGTGAAGGCCCCATAGAGGAGAGGATCCAGAGGAGCATTGAGGAGGCCAAAGAGGAAAAGGATGTGGCTGAGGCTGGGAGGCACTTCATTTAGCATGGTGGGAGAGAACCAGTACCAGAGACCTAGCAGGTAATAAGGTGTCCAGCAGAGGATGAAGGTCAGCAAGACAAGCAGGGCCAGTCGCAGGGCCCGAAGACGAACACGGGGACGATTGTCTAAGGAGCGGCGGAGGGTAAATTCACCGGCAGAGGCTGGGAATTTAGAAAACACACTCAAATTCAGAACCACTCAGCTCCTGAATTGATGAATGGGCATAAATAGAGCTCTCCCCCTCTACAAGGAAGAAAACGCTGCACGCCGCCTTTCCCTTCCCAGCCTAGGACTATATACTCTCCTCCCCCCAGGGATTATGACAGACATGCTGGGCAAAAAACGTTTCGATTAAGATGCTGTGTTACATGAAGCTGCCAAGTCTATTTGAAGACTTGTTGGTGTCTAACAGAGAAGAATACTGATCCCTTTTCTCCTTATTCTTGCCCAGCTAACTCAACTTCAGAGAATGAAGTTAGAATTGAAGGCATTCAATAACATTATGTGTAGCATCAGGTGCTAGAGATATGGGTAGTATTTCACTTTTGGTTTGATAGATCACTATCAAATAAATGAGGTTAGAAGCAGTAGGGTATGGGTTAGGGCCTGGGGTCTGGGGTCTCACCATGGTTCCCCTTTCTTGTCCGGGAACTGGACACACTGAGGACAATGCGGCTATAGCAGATGGTCATGGCAGTCAGTGGCAGCAGAAAGAGGCAGCAGAAGGTGAAGAGGTTATAGGTGGTCTCTTGCCATTGAGCCTTGAAGCTGCCTTTGGTGACACACTGAGTGAAGGGGACTGGACCAGCTCGGTGGACAGTATGGAACAGGAATAGCTAGAATGGAGTTGGGGACTGTTAGAGCTGGTTCCCCTTACCCTCCCCACCAGCCTACCCACCAGTTCAGCAGTATCTCCTTCCAGTTCATTCTTAATTCTCTGCAGTGCTGAGTAATTGTACATCCATGGTGCCATATTTAAAAGCGTAGAAATGTATCTTGAAAATCCCTCTTCCCCTTAGGCTATGTTTGTTAAATCTGGAATTTAAAGAATCTTGTCTTCTCAAGGGGTGGGTACAGCTCAGAGGTAGCACATGTGCTTACCGTGCCGAGGTCCTGGGTTCAATCCCCAGTACCTACATTTAGAACAAAAAGGAAGAAAAACCTTGCCTTTTCAAATACTATTCTAACATTGAACTTCATAAAAGAGTATCTACCACCTCACCAACCTTTTGAGCTGAAATGATTTTCATGATGTGAGTGAGTGATTCTGTGAAAACAAGAAATCTTGTATAAAACAGGTGCTGCTAAAATTTCAGGCCATTTTGCAGCCACTCTGTAAAGTGACCTTTAGTAATAGTCATATGTACAGTAACTATGATGGTGAAACAATGTTAAATAAAATTTAACATTTTCCAAATGCTGTCGGCTACCCCTTCCCCTTTTTGGCAAACTGCTGGGGTTTTGCTTTGAGTCAGTAGAGAGTATTTTTCAGTTGAGAGCTTCAGGTTGACTACCTCGGTTCAGGTAAGGTGGATTGAGTCACTATTAGTTTGATAGAAGGCAAGCTTTGTAGGTATCAGATTCTTAGATATAAGGCATTTTGGAAAGTGATTTCAGCAAACATGAGGGACTTTTAGGAAAGGTAAATAGTGTCAGTCACAGACATGCAATTAAATGAACTGCTTGGACTTAGGATCAGGCGATTCTAAGTCAGTTGGGGAGTGGTTTTTCCTCTTCCCCTATCTTGAGTCCATATATTTCGAGGGTTTTGTTTGTTTTGGTGGCGGGGGTGCGGGTTATAGTACACCTAGAAATACTTGACACCTTGTGAGAAGGAGTTTAAAATAGGCAGGGGCTCCTGGACTTACATTTTGGTCCATGGCCCCACTTCTGCTTCTTTTCTTATCTGATACGCAATTTACCATCGACTGTGGAAACCTTTTCAGCTACTTCTGATAACTTGGAAACTCGAGTCTATAAAAATAGTTTCTAACTACAACAATGTTCCCTTCACCACACTAACAAAAGAGTTTTTTTTACTGACACTAATATTTTAAGTGCAACATGAGGGCAGTGCAGAATTTACATAGGAGGATGCTAATGTGGAACCCAAAATAGCACCTTTTGAACCTCAATCATGATGTTACCAGGTTGCTGTTGAAGCAAATGGAGGTTGCACTGTTGTCAGGTTTTCAGACTGTAAGAAAGGATGAAATTCATTTGCTATTCCATTATCTTGTGGCCTGTGTATTTCAAGGGATTTAGCCAGTCATACAGTTAGTTGTGGTAGAGCCTAGACTCAAAAAGCAAAAGTAAAACAAGCAAACATCAAAAACAGGCTTCTTCCTAACTCCCAGCCCACATCTAAAATTCGCTTCATATAAATTCAACTGTAACTCCTTTTGCACGGAGGCAACAGGCTGCTTTTTAAAACTTGGGGTAGCAGAGGTCCTGTCTGCAACATTCTGTTGGAAGCAATACTTCCTACTTTAGAACTACGGTCAGACTAACTGGTAGTTAATTTATAATATTTAAGGATTTAAGGGTCAAATCTTAAATCTGGCTCTAGAATGTATTATTCCAGAGGCTGAAATTATAGACTCCGTCCTGACATAACCCTAATCCTTGTCTCAGAGATGCTGCTTTACTCCCTCCTCCCGGATAGTGGTAGTGGTTTTGGTTTTGAAAGAATTGCTTTTTTCTAGATTTCTAGTTCATTTTCAGTATTGAGATTTGATTAACTGGTCCTCAAGTTCAGATGCTCCCCCTTTCCCCCGGTTCTGACACCCACCATAAAGTTAGAGTAAAAAATGGCAAATCTAATTGTCACTCTCTACCTTTTACTTTAGTGTCTCCACTGCCCTCAGGATAAACTACTAGCCTAATATTTGTGATCTGGTTCTTCATTCCCCCCAGGGCTCATTTTTCACCATTTTCTAGCCCTCATCTTGAGCTGCAACCACTGTGAGATTGTCTACCCTCTACCCTCCCCAGCAGTCCTGCTTTAACTTGTCTGACTTCCAAGAATCAACTTTCAACGTCTCTGGGAAGTCAGGAAGCTTTCCCTAACAGTCCAAGAGTGGGTCAGACATCTCCATTGTTCTTTAAAAGCTCCTTATGCTTAGATTAACGCTCGACTACACACTGTGTTCTAATTGCATATTAATTTGACTCTGCACTAGTTTAAAAATTTCTTGGAGGCAAGACTTTGTCGCTCTATCCTTGATAGAACTTTTGATCGTACCTAGGGGATGCACATTATTTTTTGGATTGATGAATGAATGTACCACAAAGTTTTGTCCAAAGTCACTGACTTAACTGTCTTCTTCCCATATATGTTTCCTCCCTGCCCTAGAGTTCTGCATCTGAAGAAGGTTGGGAGGGAGGATGCAAAAAGGTGGAAGTCAAGTGTAGTAAAATCAAAGGCTCTTTACAAAAATACAAATTAACACTCGATGATGGTAACTTGCAAAAGAGATAGCAGAGGCTCCCCCGCTGAGGATTTATGGTGACCGCGGCCACGCACACCCCTTGAAACCGAAGGCTCATGTTGTATACCCAAATTCTTGTTGAGTCTAGCCGTAAGTGCCGGCAAGTCACTCACCTGGGGCAAGGCAAGCAGGAAACTAAGTCCCCAGGCTGCCCCCAGAAGTTTCCCTCCAGTTGAGCGGGGTCCAAGCGGGTGGAGTACGGCTGCCTGGCGGTCGAGCCCAATGACCACAGGCAGGAAAGCTGCGGCATACATAGCCATTAGTTTCAGGAACATGAGTGTCCGACATGCGATATCCCCGGCCAGCCACTGAACAGTGATATTCCAGGTGGCATCTAGAGGCATAACCACGAAAGTGACCAGTAAGTCGGCAGCTGCTAAATGAGCAAAGAGTCGTCGTACCGGAGAGGGGCGGAGCTGGCTAGGTTGCGGCCGTGTCACTGACCACAGCACAGCCAGGTTGCCTCCAGCCGAAGAAATAAACAGCACAACGGTCACTCCCACTCGGACCTTGGCTGCAACTGAGAAGGTGGGCAGCTCTGAGCCCTCCACTTCTACTCCTGACCCCGCCCAGACCTCCTCCCCTGCTGCTGACCCCGAAGGGGTGCCGTTTCCTGCAGACATGGTGACCTGGAAAGCCAAGGGATGAGGGGATAAAGTGTGCGTTTGAAGAGATTAGCTGCGTCCGCTGATTCTTCTCCCTCCCTTTTAGGATCTGAAGTTGGTTATTTAGCGAATTTCGTCCACTAAAGCGTCTGTCTCTGGAGACTCCATCCGTATTCTGGAAGTCACCTGTCCAACCGTCAGGGTCCTGCAGGGAACAGGAATCTGGTGTAGGCTTCTGCTTCCATTGACTTCTTTAGCGCCCAGAGTCCTGGATTCGGCTGGAGCGTGCGAGTGAGTCAGTGTGTGAACTGGGGGTGTTCTGCTGAACGCGCTCCAGGGTGGAGGGAACGCTATCCTAGCGGCCCCGGCGAGAGCACTGCGGCACCTTCTGGCCCCGCCCGCATCCTGCAAGCCCCGCCCTTGGTCCGGACTATTTAAAGGAAAATGTGCCTCTGCAGGCGGGCTTAAGAAATAGAGATAATCTGAAAAAAGGACGCGCTGATGGAGACGCGCGCAAAAACACGCAGGTGTAGGCCCAGAGACAAGTGCTGCTCGTTCTGAAATGCCGCTTCAGGGGCCGGCTGCAGGCGCTTTCTGTCCTGATGATGTTTGTCCCTCGCGCGGCACCGTCGGATCGTCCGGGAGGCGTGACTAGGGGCGGGAAGTGGGGCGGGAGCGGATCTGCGGAGCCGGGGCCGCCGCTGTCATGGACGCCTGGGTCCGCTTCAGCGCTCAGAGCCAGGCCCGGGAGCGGCTGTGTAGGTGCGGCCCGAAGAGAAGTGGGGGGAGGGCGGGCAGGGGAAGAGCCTCGTGAGGCGAAGTCAGGTCCCACTACGGGGGTCAGAAAGGGTCAACTCGGGGTACGGGGGCCCGGACGGAACGCGAGGCTCTCTGTTGAGCCGGCTGTGAGGCCATGATTCGTTTCTGCCCGCGGGAAAGATGGGAAAACTGAGGCACGAGTGGGCCAGCGGGGAGGCCGCTCAGGGTTGCGTGTTGACATGAGACCGACAGTTTCCTCACTGGGCGCTGGTGGAACGAGGAGCGTTCGCCCCGTGGCGGATAGCGACCTGGACTCTGTCCCCAGGGCTGACGAGGCGCTCCAAAGTTTCCCTGTCCCCTCAGCCTTCTGTCACCCGCGAACTCCTCTGTCTCCCCGCCCTGGCTTTTAGTCTCCATTCATCTCAAGGGCCTTGAAAATCTTAGTCGACCTATTCTGAAGAATAATCTGCCCTCCAGCTATCCCCCACTCCCTCACATATCACAAAGATGCTCACACTGATGTGCTTGTGATGGACCCCCTGCCGCCTTCAATATCCCCTTCAGTCCTCGTCATTGTCAAATCTCTCGTTTCCTCAGTTCTACAGAGTGCTCCGCACCCCCTTCTAGGCTCCTTTTTTTTATCCTTACGTCTTTCTCTTCCCCTGGCCTGGAGGAGAAACGGTGAGATGTGGGCATGAAGAGGAGGAGAGGGAAATGTCTCAAACGGGGAAAAGGAGGGGTCCAGGGAGGACTCGCCTTTTGGAGGACACTTTTGAGAGGGAGGTTAGGGAGGCCTCCACCTTACCTTACCTGTCCTCTCTCCTCCAGGGCTGCCCAGTATGCTTGCTCCCTTCTTGGCCATGCACTACAGAAACATGGGGCCAGTCCTGAGTTACAGAAACAGATTCGACAACTGGAGGGTCATCTGAGCCTAGGAAGAAAGCGTAAGTAACTGTGCCTTTCCTTTTATTAATCCAACACTTCCTCCATCCCCAGCTTTTCTTCCTTAGTCCCTCCTTCCTGCTTTTGACTTCTGCCAGTTCTTCTCCCTCATTTCCTCTGCACTTACTCTCTGCATGCCTCCTGACCGGGACAAGAGAGCAGGGGTAAGAGTAATGAAGGATTAGAAAGAATGGGTCAAATTTGAGAAAACTAACCTGGGACACAAATTGATTAAATCTTGAAGTAAAAAAGAATGATCTCTTTCTGCACTTAAAATTGTTTGTTATTGTTTTTTATCACTTGCTCGACTTTCACCTTCTTGCGCTCTCTCTTTCTCTGTGTCTTGCTCTCTATTTGCCTCTCTGCTTTCCCAAATCCTTGCTTTTCTTTGCTAACCTCCGCAAGTCCTACGCCTCGGTAACTCGGCAGATGCCCTTGAGTCAGCCAAACGAGCTGTGCACCTATCAGATGTTGTCCTGAGATTCTGCATCACTGTTAGTCACCTCAATAGAGCCTTGTACTTCGCCTGTGACAATGTCCTGTGGGCTGGAAAGTCTGGACTCGCTCCCCGTGTGGATCAGGAGAAGTGGGCCCAGCGTTCATTCAGGTTTGATATCCTTTTATCCTTCAAAACCTTTTGTATTCTCCATACTGCATAGCTGGCCTTTTATGAAAGAACAGTCTCTCAGGGGCTTCTCTGAGAATATACACATCTTAATCACTTGGCTTCCAATCTTCATTTAGATCTTAAACTATCAGAGAATAATGAATAGGGGAAGATGGAAGACAGATGCTCTTCCATGATGAATGACTAAGATCGGGCAAGATTAGATATTAATTCTATTTCTTTAATTCTGCGTCTGTCTGTACCACAGGTCATGCCCCTCATTGCCTGCTCATTCATTCATTCTAAAAATATTTAGTAGGTTCTTGCTGTGAGCCAGGGAATACAGCAAAGGGCCAAACAGTTATGGTTCCTGCTCTCATGAAGCTTCTAGTCTAGTGGAGGAGTCAGGGATTAAGACAAATAATCACCAAACCAAATATTTGTGGGGAAGTACACGATGTTATGAGATATATAACACGGGGAGCTAATTTAGATTGAAAAGTCAAGGAAGAATTCTTTGAGAAAATTAAATTTGTTTCAGACTTGAAGTCTGAGTAGAAGTTATACAAAGCAAACAGTAGCAGAGAAGATCTTCCCAAACAGAAAAATAGCACACTTTAAGGACTGAACCAAGAAAGACTTCATGGAATTAGAGAAATAGAAAGAAAACCAGTGTGATGGATTTAAGGCTATAAGTTCAAACTGGAGAGGCAGACAGGGTCCAGGTCATTCATGCAAAGCCTTGTAGGCAATGGTAAGGGGTTTTTTTGTTTAAATTTTATCCTAAGTACAGTGGGTTCTGAGCAGAGATGTGACATAATTCAAATTGTGTTCAAAAAAGATCTCTCATGCTGTAGTGTGGAAAATGGATTGCTGTAAGGCAAAAGAGGAGGAGATGCCCTAATGTGGTCAAGAGATGATGTTGGCTTGGATAGAGGAGCAGGCTGGTGTTGAAAGTGGAAAGAATCATGATTTGGGAGTTAAATGATCTGTATACATATCATCTGTATTGGTTTTTTGTTCTCCAATGATTCTTTGTCATTTTACATTAGCATCTTTCCTTCTACATTTATGTCTTGCTTTTCTCTTCATCTTTATCATTTATATTTATATCCTATTCATTTAGGATGTATGAGGGGTGGGAGTGGAAGCATGGCTGGAGTGGTATGGAAAAACAACTCCCCAGAAGGGTTTATATGCCATGTTTATTCATTTTATTCAATAAATATTTATAGAGCTCTTAGTATGTGCCGAGCACTGGTCTAGACACAGTGGTAAAGACAAACAAGATCCCTGCTCCAGTGGTGCTTACATTGTAACAAGAAGAGCAAAGAAACAATAAATGAGAAAAATGACAGACAGTGGTAAATGCAATGCAGGAAATTAAAATAAGGTCATGTGGTAGACAGTAAATGGCTCGCTACTTTAGAATTGGGAGGTCGGAGAATACATCCCTAAAGAGATAATATTTATTTATTTATTTATTTATTTATTTATTTATTTTTATTGAAATATAGTTGATTTACAATGTTGTGTTAGTTTCTGGTGTATAACAAAGTGATTCAGAGATATATATATATTAAATTTTTTTTTCTTTTTCATGTTCTTTTCCATTATGGTATATTACAAGATATTGAATATAGTTCCCTGTGCTATACAGTAGGACCTCGTTGTTTATTTTATATACAGTAGTTTATATCTGCTAATCTCATACTCCTAATATGGCCCTCCTCCACACTCCTCTCCTTTGGTAACTATCAGTTTGTTTTCTGTGAATCTATTTCTGTTTTGTAAGTAAGTTCATTTGTGTCATATTTTAGATCCCACATATAAGTGATATCATATGATACTTGTCTTTCTCTGGCTTATTTCGCTTAGTGTGATAATCTCTCTAGGTTCATCATGTTGCTGCAGATGACATTATTTTATTCTTTTTTATGGCTGAGTAGTTGTGTGTGTGTGTGTGTGTGTATATCACGTTGAAGTGTGACATTTAAGCTCAAACTTGAAGTGCAAGGAAGAACCAGCCATGAGAAGATTTTGGAGGGAGAATATTTCAGGCTGAGGGAGTATGTGGTATAAAGTTTCTAAAATAGAAACGAGCTTAATAGGATCAAAATATAGAAAGAACCTAATGTGTTTGGAGCATAGCAATTAAGGGAAAGCATGGTACAAGATGAAGTTAGAGAGACAAGAGTCAGATGTTGAGTTCTATATGCCTGCCTAAAGTAGTTTATTCTAAATGTGATAGGGAGGAAACCATGGAGAGTTTTAAGAAAGGGAATAATGATGTCATTTATGTTTATGCCAGCTACTGTATGAGATTAGATTGTTGGGAGTGGGGAGCAAGAGTGGCTGTGGAGAAACCAGTTAAAAGACTAAAGTAGTAGTTCAAGGAAGAGATGATGGTGGCTCAGACTGTGGTGGTGGAGTATAAAAGATAGATGTGGTTAAAGTCAGGATACGTTTTAGAGTTAGGACAATTATATTGAATACAGACCACTGTTGTCAGAATGGATTAAAAATAAAAAAGACATAGACTGTTCTTAAGGAATTTATAATCCAACTCATTTGGCAAGGTGGGCTTAGCTTTGTTTTTTTTTTTAATGGAAGGATTGGATTTAAATGGTCTATACATCTGAGTCTTTGAAACAACTGAAGCTGTTCTTTTAAAATAAATTTGCATTGTTATAGTTCAAGTTGAATGTGTGTGCACTAATGGGTTGCCAAGTGGAAAAGTGAAATTTGAGGTTGATCTTGGAATATTTCATGACTCATGAATTTTAAGCGAGGATCTTAAGGTGCACATAAATCCCATTCGTTACAGAAAGGTGGAAGGCC